AGTCAGGAATTTCTTCGAAGACTTCCATGGTTGCTGAAAAAATAAATATGTGGTTACATGAAGGAATTCAAGGCAACAAAGAAAAAAAACTTACATGCAAAGTTCTATTTTTCTGGGGAAGACATGTTTTTTCACCCACTAACCCACTAGTGGGGGCAGCAACAAAGCGGGCGTACCAACCACGGTCACGGTCATCCTCGGGGCTAACTAAACCCTTTTACTTCTAGCCACGAGGGAAAAAATCCTTTCACGAAACAACTTGGGAGAGAAAAGATAAAGTAAGTGATGGAAATTAAAAGGAGCGGAAACCAAATCCGACAAATAGTAAAGGCATGCCACAGTCCTCCACATGATGGGACCAATCTAGCCAAGGCAAACATTAAATTAGCACAAAACTCGATGATCACTGGATCAATAGGAGGCTTAAACCCTAAGGTGAAAGGGTAGGTATAAACGAAAGAAAAGCCAGCATGGTAAGAGATGATTCTTTGATTGGCACCAGGAATTAAAACTGAGAAATCTGGTTTCCAGTGACATTCTCGTCGAACTAAAGAAATAAGACCAAGAGTGATTAAACTTGGGTAAAGTTCAGCAGGGTTAAGGGAAGCTATAGAAGAAACTTGATTCTTCATGGTTTCACGATCTGACATAAAAAGAAAACTCTTGAGGAACAATATCAGAAACTGTAGGTTCACGCATAGATTCATTCAGGTCCCTATTTTTAGAAGAAGACCTAAGGGTCAAAGTAGCCCAAGGTCTAGAAGAAGATGGCCTAGCAGAACTACTTTGAGAAGTAGAAGCACGAGTTGATAACGAACCAAGGCTGCAAAGTCTACTACATCTACTACTCCTAGTAGGGGCAGTAGAAGGAGCAAGCTCGTCGACGATCACAACTTTGCGAGGGTCTGGTGTTGAAGAAGACATGTTTAATAGAGAAAATACAGAGGAAAGGTACATAAATATGAAGAAGGGTTAAGATGGTGGATACAGAGAAGAAGGAAGAAGTTTTCAAGAAATCAAAAAGATAAAGTATTTATAAGGAGATACAACCGTCGTTAAAATTGGTCATTATAAAGTGTCATAATGGAACCGTCACTTCGTGACTGGCGCAACCGCAGAAATAACCCTAAAAAAGCGTTGAGAAACTGCATAACCAATCATAAGAAGCCATATGGCATGGGCATTAAATGAATGTGACATACGTCGTATCGATTCTGAATGAGGCATAATGATACTCGAGAAACGGCGACAAAGAATTCCCGCGATAAAAACTTACCACTTCTCGAATATACAGTTGAGAATATTCAGAAAGTGGGGGGACTATCTGTATTGGTGAAAAAATACATGACACATGGACTATCAATAAGCTGACGAGGCATGGTATGCGGAACATCGATGTAAGGACAAGTGGCATTCTTAATTAGACGAGTTAAAGAATGCGAAAAAGACATGAGAGAAACACCCACGAGGTTATACTGGGGAAAAAAATTGACCTGACAACTGTAAAAGGAGAAACAGGAACGAAATGAATAAAGGTTGTGAAGAAGGGAAGATACACAAACCTGTCATAAATAAGGAAGGAAAATCAATGCAGTTACAAGGAGTCTTTAATCATAAATATTTCCGTTACGATTGTACATGGTAACAGGCAATCAAGGCAATTAATATCATTAGTGAGCCCAAATTAAGTAAGGGAACCAATAATTGTATGATCCTATATAAGGACTGAAATCTCATTTGTAATGGAAAGAAATAATTATTATTAAAATTTATACAGTTATTCTTTGCTTTACTCCCAAAGTTCTAAGCCGTAATTTTAGGAATGATTATCGGTTCATTTCATATTTTCTTTGTTAATTATTTCCATTCCTTGATCTATTCTTTCAATTTTATTTTGGAAAGTGAAGTAAATCTTGGTTATCAGTAGCCCGATTTTTTCTAGATATTGACTTTGACCGAGAAATCTATTTTTGGGTTAAACAATGTGAGTATTTGAGAAGAAGTTGTTTTGTCCCTCATTGAAAAAAAAATAAAATAAAGGAAGAAGTATTTAAAAGCACTTCTTTATCTTATATGGTTTGAATATTTTGAAGGTGTTTTGGAGAAAAACTAGAATTTAACTATATTATTAATAGTCAAGATTGGGCACTTGGGAAATTGGGCCAATTAAAATAGTCCGAAATTTACTTTTTTAGTCACCTACTAATTTTGTTATTTAATAAAAATATTTAATTAAAACATTTTAACAGTTTACTAATTTTAAAAAGGTGACTATTGGTTTTAAAATGGTGCATGTTGGCAAATGTTGAGTGGTTAATTATAACAGACACCTAAAAGGGTTTATAAATACCCCATTCTTCTCCAAAACGAAAATCATCAGAAAACAACAGTTTTCCATATTCTTCTCTTTCTGCTATCTACAATTCACAAAGTTTGTTCTAGTGAAAATTCGAGTTAATTGCTGATACTCGAATTTCAGAGGCTTTGTAGAATCCTGGAGGAATTCTGTCATAATCCCTATATCAACGAAATTGGGAGGCTTAAATTCCTTTAGGACAGTGACTACATTATCAAGGCCTAATTATTTCGTTTCATATTATGTTATTTTTTCTAACAGTTTCTAATATTCCTTCTCTTGTTTTGTCATACTTCAAGTAATTTTAGGCACCAAGCATCAACAATCATATATCCCTTTACGATATGGCTTGTACTCTGACTCTCTGAAGATATATGTTCTTTCCTCATATTTAATAATTTCAACACAATGCTGAAACCTAGCGTATGTTGCAGATTTATATATGTTCACATGCAGTACAATAGAGCAAAGCATCTTGCCGAAGAAGTACTAATTATCATTAGATAAGCTAACAAGTAGCAATGATGGTAATCATCTCTTATAATTATGCTATAGTACATCATCAAGAAATTTATTTCCCTATCCCCTAAAAGCAATGGGAAGATAAAGCATAGAGTATGAATATACATGTATGATGTATCTTAAATTTGTTTAAATAGCTCTGACATTAAGAGCTTCTAATATGCATTGCTCTCGCAACTTCTAATCATAGTTTAGCTTGTCAGATGATCTACCAAGTGGTAGATTTAGAATTCTTAAGTCATGAGTGCTCAACTATTTTTAATCTAGATATTGCTGCTAAGAATGGGTGCTTAATTAATATATTTATATGACTTGCTAATTTTTCTACCTAAGTAATGGTATTTGACTCCAAAGATAATATATGTGTTTTAGCACCCATAACTCATAATATAGATCGGCCACTGGATCTATCCACGCGTCTTGATCTAAATCATCCCACAACTTTTATTAATAGAATATTAGATGAATCTACGTGATAATCTTTTATTTCTGAATGTAATAAGATACGCCTTTACCTCAGGCGATTTAATTAACGAACTATTTTCCGAGCTCGATCAATTTCAAGAAGTATTTAGTTGAACTCTAACTCGATCAGAAGCACATAACATAAAATGAAAACCATTGAATCCCTAAACTCTACATGTTTCCTCGACAAGTTTACTCCATACTCAAGTTTGGTTTTCTAACTCTAACAACTAACAGTCTTCTTCAATCACTCATTCAGGAATCTTCCAAATTAATACAATAAGGATCGCTTGGTTCACCGTTTGATAATGTAAGAATTATAATGTAGGAATAATTATGCAATGAATATTGATAGTGTATGCATGCTTTGTTATACTGAAGAATAATACAAGATTTATTATGCAGTGATTGCCTACTTTAATTAAGGATATTTTCCTCCTCTGGATACCCTTATTCTATGTTTGTTCCCACCGAAGGTGGAATCAGGAACTCACATAGAGTGTTCAGTATTCCAACAGCGAGTCTCTTGAGTTTATAAATTGGTTCAGTTTTATCCATAAAAGTTTGATATTGATTTATAACATTTAGCAACTTAAAAAGAAAAGAAAAAAATAATAGTGATTCTGCTAAGCAACACAGAATAAATGACCAAAATTTTCCTTTAGTATCTTATTCTTCAAAATTCTCTCTTGATTCTTCTTGTGATTTCTAACGATATTTTAATATATGAAGGAGTGATCCTATTTATAGTCATGAGAAGATGAGAAGTTATATAGAAGATTTCTATTTTTAAAACAAAGAAGTCATATCGAAAATAACTCACTTTCTTTGATTTGATCGATTCACTTGAGTCATCAAAATAATTACATTGATCTTTTGATAAAAACGCTTTTAATCGACTATAATATATCACGGCATATTTGGTATATTTTATTAATATTTTCAGTTGACCTTTGAATCCTGTATATTTTGGATGTAACATTTGCTTCTTTGTTTGACTTGGTGTGCTAATTCATTTGAAAGATGATGCATAATTTATATCATTCTATAATATTCATTTGGACTATAATTTTTTGAATTTTGTATACGAATCAAATTTGTTATGGTAAATAAAGTAAAATTTAAAGGCATACAATTGAGAAAACGACAAAAATGGACTCTTCTATTTGTGGTAACTTTAAAATAATTCATTAAATATATCTCATACTAACAATTTTGATCCTTTAAGCTTGACAATAAGAAACTCGGAATGAATAAGAAAAAATTAACAAAAATTACTGAGAAAGTCCCGTCAAATTTCACAAACTACAACGCTAGAAACCGGATATACACATCAAAAAACTGCATCAACCACTAAAAATTAGACTAAAAAAGTAGAAATTGCAAAATTTACACTTCCTATTGTAATTTCTCATTAAAACTATTTTTTCACAGTCCCATTAAATATACTAACAATCAAAGTGTGTTAAATATTTGATAAACACCAAAAGTATTTATTTTTGACAAATTTAAAAGACCAAAACTACTTAAACATATATTATAGGGATTATTTTAAACCTACTCCAAACTTTAAAGACCGTTTTTAACTTTTGAGAAAGAACCGGGTTGAAGTTGCGTCAGTAGAGAAGGTGGGCCTATCCATTTTTGTAGTCCGAACTCCATAGAACATACCATTTCCTCTCATGTTTCAAGCACATGCTTAACTACAGGTCCCTCAATCTACAGAGGACCGAAATTCCTAACTAGAATCAGCGATTCACTTCTGCTAGTGTTCACAAACGCGCAACTATCAGTTTTTTTCCCCATTCAAGCTCCCGACATCGGTAATTAATCTTCAAAATTCAGCTTAGCCTTGTTAAAATTTCAATGTTATGCACACCCATGTACAATTTACGGACAAAATCTCATTGTTTGAATGATCCAATTATGCAAAGTGATTGATAAACCCTAGGTACGTTACTCTTCAAAATTTTGATTTTTTAACTTGTTTAAGTTTTTGTTTTTTTTATTTTCCAGGTGATTGAGCTAGCTATGGAGATGGAATTGTTCACGGAGGCAATGCTGGAAGAAGAAAGCTGTTCTTTTGAGGAAAATAATGACGTAAGTTATGTCGTCACTCTCTGTTAATTGGTATTGCTATGTAACCCGTGGGTTTAAATAGAAAAACTAAACAATGAATTATAATGTGCCTAATCATTTGATGTACATTTTTCTTTTCGAAAATGGACTATGGTCCCAGATGCATTATTTTCAGTTCATTTATTGAACCGAAGATCCTTATATTGAAGCATTTATGGATTTCATTGCAGGATTATTCGAGTTTGGACGGTGAAAGATGTGGGATATGTATGGATGTTGTCATTGACAGAGGAGTTTTAGACTGCTGTCAGCACTGGTATTTACATCACTCTACGTGACATTAGAATAGAGAAGGAAGCGACTGTAGTTTGACATAAATGGATTGTTCAGTGCATTTGTATTTGAGATTCCATTGGCTTCTCCCTTTTGTCATGTTATGCATTGTTCTCTTTCCTCTTTCCCTTAAGCGAAGTCAGTTGACTTACTCTTCTCTTCATGCAATCTATTTACGCAACCCTTTCCCTTCACGACAAGCCTAAGCTTACTATTTTTATGATCGCATCTTTTCATATGTGCCTGTAATAGTATGTGGATTTCAGAAGTTTCAGTGCCTGGCGGCATGCATGAAAAAGTTTTTCTTGGTTGTTAGTTATGGTTTGTTCTCTTTAAGTAGATGTTTTGCAGAATAGTTCAGTTATGACGTTTCAATGTTTGTCTAAATTATTTATGACTTGTCAGCATGTTTTCACTCTGGTAATCAGCTGTATTCTTGATCGGCCTTGTTGTTTCTGATACTTAGTTTTGTTGGTGATACCACATCACCCGAAATTATGCGAATTTCCAGTTCCATGACTTTTGTCTTCCTGTTCTGTTACTGCTTATGATGAGTTGTGTGATATTGTGAGACCAATTACCGTACCATAGGAAGTAAGGTTTTAGTTAAACGTTTGTGAATGTGGACATTACTCAGATTAACATGTCAAATGTTGACTTTTTTTATCCAACCTCTAACTGCTTGTACAAATACAAATTATGTCCTAAGCTCTTCATTTAAATTTCAGGTTTTGTTTTACATGCATTGACAACTGGGCTACCATCACAAACTTATGCCCACTTTGCCAGAGTGAATTTCAATTGATCACTTGTGTGCCTGTGAGTAACTGAAATTATCGTTGTTGCTTCACATTGTTTTTATCCTATTTTTCAATTCATTAATGAGTTCAACAGTGTCTTAGTTACATACTATCAATTAATGGCTTGATCTTTGTTTGCCGATGGTTCTGAGGTTCTTTTTCCCATCTTAAGTCAGCTCTGAAAGCTTTCATTAATGCTTACTAATTTTCATGAAGGTTTTTGACACCATTGGGGGCAGCCAGACTGATGAGGATTTATATATCAGGTATAGTTTTAGTTTTTGGTACTCTTTCAAATTTATACTACCCTTCCACCCTTCCAGGTAGGGGTAAGGCTGCGTACATCCTAACCTCCCCAGACCCCACTTGTGGGATTACACTGGGTTGTTGTTGTTGTTTCAAATTTATAACAATCCACTACATCTTTTTCGGCGATGGTCGTTATGCATTGCTATAAAAGAAAGATTCAGTTAGATTCATTTTCTTGTTAATTTGATTGGAGGAAAGAAGAGAGGAACCTTATAATTGGCAAAAGCACTATCTGCAACTCTACACTTGATGCAAGAAGCAACACGCAATGGGGAGTTGATCGTGAATGTGTGGTCTTGAAATTGTTCGAGTTATAAGATTGAACAACATGTAATATGGATATGTTAGCCAAAAATAAGGAATATGCAAAGAACTTAAATAAAGCCACAAAACGAGAGAACTTGAGAAAGCCTCAGTTTAGCTGGCTCAAAGAAAATCACTTGGCAATGACAAGTGAAAATCTAATTTCTTTTTGCAAATCCTTAAAACCTCTACATATGTATTTCTCCACAAATGTGAGAACTCGAAAGTGTCAGTCGTGCTGGTTCAAAGGAAATCATTTGGCAGCCACCAGTGAAAATTTTGCATCTATTTGCAAATCCTGAAGACCCCTACCTGTATATTTCTCCACGAATGCGAGAAAATGAGAAAGCCTCAGTCGTGCTGGTTCAAAGGAAAGCAGTTGGCATTCAGAAGTGAAAATTTAATACCTTTTTGCAAATCCTTAAGACCCCTATGGCCCTACCTATAGATTTCTACTCTACCTCAAGGGATTGTGAGATAAGATCTTCACAATTCCTTCTTCCTTCTCGAAATGGATGCTAAATAATTCCTACAATTTGTATTAGGAACTTTTCTTGTGCTTCATGATTCTACACGGCTGACCTAGTGACTATTGACTATCTGGAATACTCAAAGAGTTCTACTTATAAGCTCTTTCTACGCCCATGTTTTGGTCATTGGTACAGGCATATGATGGTGTTTTACAACCACTTCCATAAGTAGCTGCATAGTTGCAGCTCATAGAATGCTGCAAATGTGTACGTTTAGATAACTCCTTCACTATTATCAGAAATCTCAACTTTCTTTTTGGAGCTGATGCTGGATTTTCTAGATTCGCGCACTTGCTATTTGAAGTGCTCTTGCCGCCTTCTGTATCATTATTGCTCTTCCTTATTTTGAAAACTTTGGACCTTGAGGTTTAAGGTTGTTGAGTATGGAAATGGTGAACGCTTCTAGCCATAGTCGAGTTTTAAAACTTAACATCCTAAAATTTCTTCAGAGATACATTAACCAAAAAAAATATTTTCTTCTCAGGTACTTAAGTATAGATCTTCAATCTTATATCATGCATATCTTTCGAGAATATTTAATTTAATAATGTTCATTCTCTAGCAGTGGCTTGATTGTTGCAAGCATTTACTATCGAGTATAACTTTCTGATCTTTGCAGAGATGATGATTGGTCCATTGAGGGGAAGACTAATACTCTTTCATTCCCATCATACTATATCGACGAGAATGTGAGTTACCATGTTCAATTGACTACGAATAATTGTTTTCCACCCTTGCTACTAGAACCTCAAATCTCTGTGGGAGCCATACCCATGGAAACCGATAGAGAATAAATACACTGCGAAATCTCATGACTTTCGTTTGATCAGCTTAGAGTTGTCGAGATTCCTCCTTGGTTCTGTTTTTTCTCTTTTCCTAAATCCTAGTTTTCTCTCTTGGGTGCTGGTTGTATGCAAATCATGTAAAGCTGTGTTACTTTTTCACTTTTTTGAGATGCAACATAGTATGTGATCTCATTTCGTCTTTCCATGTTCCAGTGCACCAAATTGAAATTCTAATTGGTGAATGTGTGGTTTCATGCTTCGAAAAGCTGATATTGTATTTCTTGTGACCTTCACTGCCGTCATATCAGTAAGATACTCTTGTATATTAATGAAAGAGAATTTTGCAAGAAGTGGTTGTCTCTTCTTGGAATCTTTGAAATCTTACGGATTTTTTTGGGGGTTTCCATGACTCTATTTTTGTCATATTGTGTTATAATTTTGTAAGTCAACTTTTTATCTGTAATTACTACGCTTTGTCTTTTCTAGGCAGTTGTCTGCTTGGATGGAGATGGCTGCAAAGTTCGGGCCGGATCAGTTACAAATGAAGGAGATCTGAATCTTGATACGTCAATTGCTTGTGATTCGTGTGATATATGGTATGATAATATATCTATTTTCTTAATCTAATAGTATGTTTTGCTAAAATAATTACCAACTGCTAAGTTGAATAGTTCTATGTTCTGGATTATGTGAATGTTAATTTACAGCATGTATATAGTGTAGTATTGTCCCACATCGGTAGAGGAGTAGTATGTCCTTGTATAGTATAGCTATAAATAAGGACCTCTTGTGTAGTATTATTCATTCATTCAATATATCAATAACATATTTTCTCCCGTGCCTTCTCACATGGTATCAGAGCAATTGTGAGAGACTTATCGCTGTGCATAAATTCCAGCGATTCCGGGAAAGAGAAATCAGTATTTTTTAAGGTTGTTTTCTATCTGCTTCATTTCTGTCAGTGTTGTGCAAAATCCAACACTACCACAAGAGTCGTTACTGTCCGGCGACCAAACCCCAGTGAACAACTCCGGCAGAAGCAGCCTCACGCGCCTCCACGTGCCACCAGAAGCTCACACGCGTGAGCTCATGCGCCGGCGCGTACGACCACTTCCGGCCATTTTTTGAAAATCTTCCTTCAGAACAGTTGGGTCGCCTGGTAATTCCGATCCTACCCCTACTGTTTTCATTTCATTCCGACAACTTTGAGTTTTTTCCGGTAGCTACAGTACTATTCCGACAGCTACAGTAGATTCCGGCAGCTACAGTATTTCAGTATTCTGTTTCTGTGTTTCCGTACACTGTTTCAGTGGATTACAGTTGATTCTTTCTCCTATTTGGTAATAATTTGCAACAATGTCTTTGGGATTTGATGCTTTTGGGTCTAGAAACATGAGTTCTGGAAACTCTAGTGCTATTATTACCTCGGAACCTTTAATGGGAGGTTCAAACTACTTAGCTTGGGCTTCATCTGTCGAGTTATGGTGTAGAGGTCAAGGTGTTCAAGATCATCTAATCAAACAGTCTAGCGATGGAGATGAAAAGGCAATAGCACTTTGGGCAAAAATCGATGCTCAGTTATGTAGCATCTTGTGGCGATCTATTGATTCCAAGTTGATGCCCTTGTTTCGTCCATTCCAGACATGTTATTTGGTTTGGGCAAAGGCACGCACCTTATACACTAATGACATATCTCGCTTCTATGATGTGATATCACGGATGACAAACTTAAAGAAGCAGGAATTGGATATGTCTACTTACTTGGGTCAAGTACAGGCAGTCATGGAGGAATTTGAGAAGTTGATGCCAGTTTCTGCTAGTGTGGAAAAACAACAAGAGCAGCGACAAAAGATGTTTCTCGTTCTTACCCTCGCTGGACTTCCTAATGATCTTGATTCAGTACGCGACCAGATTTTGGCTAGTCCGTCTGTCCCGACAGTTGATGAATTATTCTCTCGATTACTCCGCCTTGCTGCAGCACCAAGTCCACCAGTGATCTCATCACAGATACTTGATTCCTCTGTTCTTGCATCCCAGACAATGGATGTTCGGGCATCTCAAACTATGGAGCATAGACGAGGAGGAGGTCGTTTTGGAAGATCTAGACCCAAGTGTTCTTATTGTCACAAACTTGGACACACTCGTGAAATGTGTTATTCCTTACATGGTCGTCCACCCAAAAATGCTTACATTGCTCAGACCGAGACTCCAGGTAACCAAGGATTTTCTTTATCTAAAGAAGAATATAATGAGCTCCTTCAGTATCGAGCAAGTAAGCAGACATCTCCACAAGTAGCCTCAGTTGCTCAGACTGATACTTCTGTTACTGGTAATTCTTTTGCTTGTGTTTCCCAGTCTAGCACTCTTGGCCCATGGGTCATGGACTCCGGCGCTTCTGATCACATCTCTGGTAATATATCACTTTTGTCAAATATTGTATATTCACAGTCTCTTCCCACTGTTACTTTAGCCAATGGATGTCAAACTAAGGCAAAAGGAGTTGGACAAGCTAATCCCTTGTCTTCTATCACCCTAGATTCCGTTCTTTATGTCCCTGGCTGTCCTTTTAGTCTTGCATCTGTTAGTCGTTTGACTCGTGCCCTCCATTGTGGTATATATTTTATTGACGATTCTTTTATTATGCAGGACCGCAGTACGGGACAGACAATTGGTACAGGACGTGAATCAGAAGGCCTTTACTACCTTAACTCACTCAGTCCTTCCACAACATGTCTAGTTACAGATCCTCCAGATCTAATCCACAGACGTTTAGGACATCCGAGTTTATCCAAACTTCAGAAGATGGTGCCTAGTTTATCTAGTTTGTCTACATTAGATTGTGAGTCGTGTCAACTTGGGAAACATACCCGAGCCTCCTTTTCGCGTAGTGTTGGGAGTCATGCAGAGTCTGTCTTCTCCTTAGTTCATTCTGATATATGGGGTCCTAGTAGAGTCAGTTCATCCTTGGGATTTCGTTATTTTGTCAGTTTCATTGATGATTATTCAAGATGTACTTGGCTTTTCTTAATGAAAGATCGTTCTGAGTTATTTTCTATATTCCAGAGTTTCTGTGCTGAAATCAAAAACCAATTTGGTGTTTCTATTCGCATTTTTCGCAGTGATAATGCCTTAGAATATTTATCTTCTCAATTTCA